CGTGCCACTTCCCCTTTGGGACAAAGCTGCTGGATTGTGCAGGAGGCAGCAGCTCCTTGGACCAAACTCCAGCTGTGACCAGCAACCAGGTGACCCTCAGCATCCTGACCTTTCCATCCTGCTTCTGTGCAAACGCCCCTGTTACAGAGAGCAGTGAGAACACGGAGAGGAGATGGATCAAAATCCGTCCTCTGGATGAGGCAGAGCCACTCAGGGCTCTGACAGCACTCCCAGCCCTGCCTGTGGTCTGTTCCCCTGGTTACAACTCGTCCCTTCTCCCTCTCTGTGCTGTTATCCTCTGCATCTTCCCAAACCACAGTGTGTAATCCAAAAGCAATGCATTATGTAGTGGCACCAGGAATTCCACTTGTTTTGCTGTGTTGGGTCCCAGGAAGGCAGTGGCTGCAGAGGACTCAAAACCAAAGCCTTCATACCTCTTTGCCTTCATACCTTTGCTACTTATTAAAAAGTGCAAGAAGAAAAGCAGCAGAACAAACCCACACCTTGGCTTTTTGCTCCCAAGACCATCAGTGACACGGCAATTAAAGGGAAGTGCAGCTCTCTGCTTCTGGTTGAGCAGGTTTGATGGGTGGTTTAAAAAGAAAAAAAGGCAAAAAACCCCACAGTGTTTCACATACCTCCCTGTCATTTCTCACAGGAGAATGCCCATTAAAAGTCAGAGCCATGAATTCCCATGTCAGGAGCTCAGCCTGGTCCTGCTGGGTGATGTGCACTGTCTGTGCAGAGATTGCACAGGCATGCTGGGCACAGGGGCAGCCTGGTTTATCTAAATATTCCCAGAGACCTGGACAAGGTCTAAGCTGCTCCCTGCACCTGTGTCCTCCCCCCCAGGTTGGTATTGTCAAGGGAAAAGTACCCACAAGTGTCAAACCCTTTCCAAGCAAGGTTTGAACGCTGTTAATTCTTCATGTGATTCTTTTCATGGGAGAAAAAGAAGGAGGAATGAGCTACTGAGTGAATGTCTTTGACCTCTAAAATACAGCTGGGTGTGCTAGAAGCACATCCTGCCTAAAAAAAAGTGTAAAACTAACAGCTTTGACTCTTTTTTTTTTGGCCCAGCTCACCCCTCCCGTCCCCCTTTTTCACTGCTCACAACCAGCTCCCCTCCCTGCAGGAGGGTTTTGCTGTTGTGCTTGTTCCCAGACAACCCAGCTCCAGCATGGAGCCCAACTAATAATCCCCCCAGAACTTATTAGCTCAGGTTTTGTGGAGTGTGTGGCCTCTAATGAGGGTGTTCTTCACTGTTGAGGGAGCACTGAACTAATGCCCCCTCGGGGTGGGCTCTCCCAGGCTTCAGACCCTGCTCAGCGTGTGAGGACGTGGATGATTTGTAATGCAGGTCTTTCCACTGCTATTCAGGGAGGTCTCCCCGCTGTTCAGGTTGGTTTACAACAGTTTTTTGAGCTGCTGGGAAAGTTTCAGGGTACTGGAGGAAAGCTGGATTTGTATCACTGTTAAAAAACACACAAAAGAAGTGAAAAAACGTGCAAATTGGTGCAAAACTCCAGCCTGGATGCTCTGTGGGTGCTGCTTTCTGTAAGAAAGGTTGACACAATCTCAACATGGCACACGGGAAAAGGAGTAAAACCTTGTTTGATGTTTGGTTTTAGGAAGGATTTATTGATTTCTGGTTTTGGGGGGTGAATCAGGTGATTGTGGTTTTGAACAACTTCTGTGCCACCTTTTAATACGTGTTTGTTTTTTTCTGGAAGGAACTCCTGAAACTTGTGTAGGGTCAGAAGCTTGAATGGCCCTACATGGAGAAGATGCCTCAGAGCAGAATCTCTGATCAATCCCTTATGTAGACAAGGACAGTGTGGTGATGGTCTAAGAGAGAAAACTGGAGAGCAAAAGAAAGGTCACCTTTTTGATCTCCTGCCTATTTGGGGCCTTCCCATTGCATTTTTACAGGGAATAAAGGCAAGGTCCTGGCTTTGCTCAGTGGAGCTCAGCTGGGAGTGACAAGGTCCCCAGATCAGGAACCTGGGGTAACTTGTGGCTGTAGATGAGGGTCACTTTTAGCAGTGAAGGTACAGAGCCACCACAGGTGATTTTTAAGCTGATTGTCCATTTTTCCAAAGGAATTCTCCTGTTCAAACAGCATTAATTCCAAGCAGTGTGGTGTTTTCCTCGGGAGGTTGGACCACGGCTTTTGAGCACGGTGTGAGGTGATGGCCCCTCTGCTTTTCCTACCAGTCATTTAGGACTTGAGATGTCAGCTTGGCAGACTTCCACAAACTCTGCCAGGCTTTCCTAGCGCAGCTATTTTGGTATGGAAAGCAAGGGCCATGAAGGCAACTCGCTCCTCGAGGTCTGTGAGGCCAAGCGCGGTGGCACGCGGAGCTCTGGGCTCACAGGAGGCATTGGCAGGAGCACGATGCCAACGTGGTGACACCCCTACAGCCCCATTAATTCACCCAGTGCTCGTGCATGGAGCTGCCTGGCACCTTGCAGAGACTTGGGTCACCCCTCAAGTGAAGTTCAGGCTGGTGTAGATGATGAAACGTCAGGTTTTGTGGAGTCTTCTTGAAGTTTGGAAGAGGAAGAACAGTGGGAAGAACCATGTCCTGCTGCTCTGGACTGAGACAGTGGTTTTTTAGCTCAATAGCCTGATTATCTCACTTTCTTCTCTCCTACTGCACTTGTTCTAATGCCTACAGTGACACACAGTGGTGATGGGGTTCTGCTCTGCCAAAGCACTTGCCCTGACATGGGAGGTACAGGACGCTGTGGATGGTGGAAATGGTGACTGCCAAGCTCCCCTTGTAGCTGGATCCACCTGCTGCTGTGACTTGGGCTGCAAGCTGCTCCTCAGATGGCCAGATGAGGAAGCTTGGGAGCTTTTTACTTTTCCATCCAATATATTGCTCATTTCCTACTGACTTCCTTCCCCATCAGCAGAGAACTGCAGGTCTCATAAGCTGATTTGTACCAGAAATGCCACACTCAAATCCTCTTTATTTTCTGTGACAATGCAATATTTTCTTATCCCTGTGTAAGCAGCCACTGAAATAAAAGTTCACTTTTGGCTGTTGGATTTCCCCTGCTCCTCACTCTCCCATTGTGTCAGAGAGCCCAGCAGGCAAGTGTGGCTCCCTTGGTCCTTAGGAGAACATTCTTCATTGTCACCAGGTGTGTTCACCTTTCCTCTCCAGGTGCTGTGTTTGTAGATGGCAGTTTTCACCAGGATTATTCCATTGCTCCATTTCTGAAGATTTTTGGATTTTTTTGCACTTGCTTTGAGAAGGAAAACAATCAGATGATGAGAAGTCTTGGGCTGTCTTCCTGCTTGAGCTGTTGCTCCACTTGGCAGACTGGAGACTGGCTGTGTAGAATCATAAAGCACAGGTTGGTTTGGGTTGGAAGGACCTTAAGGTTTATCTCATTCCACCCCCTGCCATGGGCAGGGACACCTTCCACTAACCCAGGTTGCTCCAAGCCCTGTCCGACCCGGCCTTGGACACTTCCAGAGTAGCTCCAGGCAAGCCTCTATTTCCAAATCCAAGCTTTCCCAGAAGATGAAAAAACATCTTGTTAGAAAGGTCTGGAAGTTGGGAGCAAGCTGTAAACAAATGCACTTAAATGGGTGGAAACCGTGGAATCATCTGTTTGTGAGGCACCATCCCTGCGAGCAGCAGTACCTGGAACTCGAGCTGCACCCCTGGAGATGGCTCTGGGGTGAGTGAGGCATCCCCTCGGCATGTCCCGGTGTGGGAGCAGCAGCTCCACGAAGCAGAGCAGATGTGCCGGGTCTCCATCCTCCAGAAAACGCTGGCAGCGCGACACAACCGCGCGGGTCAAGGTCAAGTCGTTGGCAGCTGCGTCCCCGCGGAGCCGAGCCAAAGGGGCAGAACTCCCCCCAAACAGCAGAATCCCTTGTCTCCGCAGTGCCGCCGGGCCAGAGGGCACAGGGCTGTGGTTGGCAGCCCGCGGGGTCCCGGGGGAAGGGGCGGCCGCGGGCGGGCACCGATGCCGGGCTGTCCCGACATCTCCGCCCGCGGGCGCGCAGCCGATTGGCGGGGCTGGAGCAGAGGCACATGAAATATGATAATTTTCTGCCGAACAGGAGGAGGAGAGGGGGGGAGAGAGGGGAGAGGGGGGAAGAGAGGGGAGAGGGGGGAGAGAGGGCGGGAGAGCCGCTCGCTCCCGATGGTTCGCGTGCCGGGGGCTGCCGAGAGGAGCGGCCCGAGCGGAGCCGCAGCGCCCCGGGGATGGCCCCTCGCTCCCCGCTCCCCGACCAGGACGAGGACGATGCCACCCAGGTGGGCCGGGCGCCGGTGGCACCAGGGGGACGCTGCCAGGGGTGCCAGGCCCGGGGCCCCCCAGTTTTGGGAACTCAGTGGCAGAGCGTTGTCCCCCCGGGAGGCTGTGCCGCTCACCGGCGCTTTGCGGTGCCGCTTAGTGGAGGGCTGAGCTTTTTTTAAAGGGGGGTTTTGGTGGGGTTTGCTAAAAACCCGAAATCTCACTCCTGGAGGAACGCTTTAGTGCTGTGCCAGGGCTGCTCGGTTCAAACTTCGCAGCCCGATCCTTAGTTTGATGGGAAGCACTTGACAGAGCTCCGCTCCGCGTGTCATTAACCCTCTCACACCCCCGCCTGGCACGGAAACTGTTAATCCCTCAAATTCACTTGCAACAAATTTAACCCTGACAAGGAGCGACCGTAGAACTCCCGGAATGGCATCCACCAGCTGTTCAATTCTATAATGACTTTGCATTTATCCCAGAGCTGGGTGGCAAGTTTTCAGATTATTGTTATTATTATTATTATTATTTTCCCAAAGGCGAAGGGGACCTATTAAAAAAAATAATCCTACAATAATCTTCCCGAAGCAAAGCTGCGAGTGCAAACCACCCTCCCCCTGCTCGGCAGTGCCGTCGCTGCCGCTTTATTAATTTCTCTGCGCCGTGAGTGACAGTCCTCCAGAAGTGATAATTGGTGCACTGTGTCTTTAAAAGGTTAAAACCCTTTTCAAAAAGGCCTAGACTCATAGTGGGAAAAGACAAGAGAGGCTTTGGCTGGCTTTGGATCCAGAAAACAGCTGCTGATTAGAGTCTGCGTCTTCGGGCTGAATTTATTACATATTTTTCAGCAGCAGGGATTCTAGGAGGAAGCTTCCGTTTGGGTTTCTTGCTCGTGGTTTATTTTTATTCAGAGGAATAACAGAGGAAGGATTTGTTCCGGCTGGAGCATGCTCACAACCTGCAAGACCTCCCATTATTAAACTGCCTACTTTGGGCTTTAATATACATGTGGTATTTTTTTTTATTATTTTTTATTAGCGTTATTATTATTTTGGCAGCGTCCATCTCTACGTTGTTTTTTTTTTTTTTGAATAATTTATTTTGAAAGGAAGCTGATCTCGTAATGAGCTTTCTCCTTCCTTACTTGAAACAGGTGCTAATGAAAGAATGCAAATAGCACCGGCTGAGCCGAACATTTCATAAAGAAGGGAACAGCCACCAACCCCAAAGGCTCCGGGATCTGCCCGCCGGCCCCCACCAAAGGTAGGCACGGGGGCTTTTGTCGCTATTTTTGTTGTTCTCTGCGTGCATATTCGCTCCCCCCTCCCTCGCTGCGGCCGGCGAGATTCCATTTTGCCTCCCGAAAGGTGTCAGGTTGCCACGGGGCGCGCTCGGACGCTCATATCCCGATGGATACGGCGCCTGGATCGCCGGGTGGCCGCGCCTGGAGCGCTGGGCGAGCGCTGGGCGAGCGCTGGGCGAGCCCGGCGGTGTCACAGCCCAGCCCCGGAGCCGCGTCCCCGCCACGCTCGCAGCTACTTTGCCGCTTAATTAGCGCTGGCTGTCGCATGAATTTATCGTCGCTTGACAGCAACTTCATTTTCCCCCAACGTGCTGGGAGAGAGGATGGTTATTTTAGCGCTGGCGGGTGGGAGGCAGCGCTGGGGGCGGTGGGAGGGAGGGAGGGAGCGAGCGCCGGGTGTGTGACAGCGACGTGCGAGAGGGACCCGGCCGTGCGCAGGGACACGCGGCTCCCGGGGCATCCCGGCCACTGCGGCGCTGGAAAAATGGACATGTTGCTCCACGGGGAGCCCAGTCCTCCTCCTGGAGCCAGTGCCCAGGGCCTGCTCCGCTTCCCAGCCTGCGTTCGTGCTCCCTGCGGAGCGCAGCCGGCTGTTACCCGGTGCTCCAGAGCAGGGATAGAGATTAAAAAATAATATCCCAACCCTCGTCTAACAGCTGAATATCTGCACAAAACGTTGGGCTTTTCACTCCCTCCCTGATCTTATTTTCCTGAGACAGGGTCTGACATTCAGGCATCATCCTGCCGAGGTCGGTGCTTTGGGCAGCCCGAGGTCGGTGCTTTGGGCAGCCCGAGGTCGGTGCTTTGGGGGAGCCCGAGGTCGGTGCTTTGGGGAGCCCGAGGTCGGTGCTTTGGGGGAGCCCGAGGTCGGTGCTTTGGGCAGCCCGAGGTCGGTGCTTTGGGGAGCCCGAGGTCGGTGCTTTGGGGAGCCCGAGGTCGGTGCTTTGGGGAGCCCGAGGTCGGTGCTTTGGGAGCCCGAGCTTCCCGGTGGAGGCAGGAGGAGGATCCGCAGCCCTTGCGGTACCTGCCCGCGGCTCCCGCCGGGGCTCCGGCTTTGCTGCCGTGTTCCGACTGCAGTGGCCTCTCCAAGGGCCAAATCCAGCCCTCCTCGGGATTATCCAGCTCCTTCGGCTGGATGAATCTCCGAGGGCAGGAATTAGCCCTTTGTCTGGAAGTTTGCATTCATATTTTGCGGTGTTTACTTGTGTTGGAGCCATATATTTCATTTCTCTGTGTGCACGCAGGTTATTTATAGGTTTTTCTCCTGACTGTTTAGGGAAGGATCTGCAAAAAAGTTTACCCCAATTAACTGTGGGAGCTGAGGGTGGGCAGCACATGAAATAAAATGCTCATTTTATATAAACAACCCCTTGAGGCTTCCTAGAAAGGGAACTTGTGAAGGTCTAACCTGACAGAGGAAGAGTAACCAAAACTTAACGTGAAGTCTGTGCCCCCCTTCCCAAAATCAGATAATTTTTAATTAAGAGTTTGATATGGAGGCGTGTGCAGGAGAATAGGATTAAAATCTGGAGCCAGTGGGAGGGGAATATCCCTCTGCACCTGGTTGTGGTGGGGCTGGGAGCACCTCATGTCCCCTGACCTCCTGCTCTGCCAGAAAACACATCCAAGTGCTGCCAGGTGCTGGCAACCCCAGCCTCGTGCTTTGGGATGGAAAGAACACTGATCTTTCCTAAACCTTCCTCTCCCTGGTCCTGAGGCCACTGGTCCTGTGGGACTGTGGTTTCTCCCTGTTTTCCACGTTGTACTGGGGAAGGAGCGTGTCCATCGCTACTTTATTTTTCTTTTCCTTTTGGAGACTGCAATTCTTCCAGCTGCAACAAAATGTGTATGGGGGGGGGTTGGTCTTTACTCCTTGCTCCTTTGGATGAGCCTGTGTGCCTGGATCTCTGCACAGCAGTACCACGTGCTGCTCCTCTCCAGCCCCAACCTCTTGCTCTGCTGGGAATGGAAAACATTTTAGATGAGAAACCTCCCCAAAAAAGCCCAAATGGGAGGTAACTAAGGAGGGAGAGGATGGGAAGGGTTTTTTTTTAACTCTGAAAGTGTCTCCTGAGCAGGGCACGGGCTTCTGCTGTACTACAAACCCCTTTGAGCATTGCCCAGCCCAAACCCTCCCCCAGCAGTCTGAGCAGGACACGGTGGATTTTGGCTCAGGGGGCTTCTGTGCAGAACTGGGGGCATCTGAGTCCTGCCAGGAGTTGCTCTGTTAGGAGCTCTCCCATCTTAGGACTGGTGGGAGTTGGTGGCTCTGCTTCACTCACTTTTATCCTTTCATCACCTCCTGAGAAAGGGAAATGAAACTGTTGTCCTCCCAGGCACCAGAGTTTGGCTCATGCTTGGGAAGGATTCTGGGCATTATTTTCCTTGTAAGGGATACCGTTAATTATTTTGCTTGAAACAGTTGTAAAACTCCTATAAACAAACATGTATAACATGCAAGGCTGTAGCTTCCAAATGGCTCTCCAGCATCTTGGCCCTTTCCTGGTGATGATTGTGGTTGTCCTGTCATGGAAATGGGGATATTTGCTGGGAATTGAGATGGCTGCTGATGGGCCAGGGAGTTTTATGGAGCCCCAGAAGAACCTCCTGGGTCAGAGCGATTAAAGGCCTCCTCCTCAGGTCCACTTTAATTCTGGATTTCCACCTGGGCCAGCAATTCCCAGAAATGTATCTCTGTTCACAGTGTGGAGCTGTTGAGGAAGGGATCAGTGCCAGGAGAGCAGGAACACACTATTGACCTAAACCCATAATTTTTAATTGCACTAGCTGTGAATGAATCTTTCTGCCTCGTGCTGGTAGGAGCACAAACAACTCCAGATATTTTGAGGGGCTAAAAACCATCTCTTTTCTCCACGTGAAGCTGAATCTGTGCAGTTAATGCAGATGTATGATGTGGGATACAGGGACTAACCAAGGACCAGCAAAGCCCAGCTCAGATTTAGTTGCCTGTTTAAAGGTGTGTGTTGTCATCTGAAAAGGATCTTCAGAAATATTTCAGAGGGCTGGTGGTTGCTCACCCGTGTTTAACCATGTTTCTGACCTTACTGCAAAGGGGATGTTGAGATTCACCCAAATCTCTTCATTTAGGTCTTTAAAAAGCTCAGAAACTTTATGCCAAGACTGGAAACATCCCAGCTCTGTAAGCTGGGGATTTGCTCCACTCTGATCTCGGTGGTTCCCTGAGGTGAGGGGGACCAGCATGGCCTTTTTTGTTCCTGTTTAACCTTTCTGTGTCTTACTTTTTCTTCTGTCTGGGAAACAGGGAGGAGGGAGGGGGAGCTGCTTGGCCAAGATCTCAGTGTGAGTCCCTGGCAGATTGAAAATACAAGTAATAAGTTTTGACTCTAAGCTCCAACTGCAGACAGCAGCACTCACCGGGGTCGGGTTTTGGTTTTTTTTCAGTTCATTATTTGCTGGGTGGACTCTGGTGCTGTAGGGAAATGCAGGGGGAAACATATTTTCCCAGGTAGGTAATCCCTGGAGCTCCATGTAATTTTTTGCTCTGGGGGAGTGGCTGCTCTGGTGGGGGTGAATGTCCCAACTGGCTGCTCGTTCTGGGGACGGGGATGATTTAGGGAGGCACGGTGCACGTGGTGTGGCCAGTTTGGTCTCTCAGGGGGGTGTGTGTGCAAACCCTCATGTCCAGGGCCATGGGATGCTGCTGAAATCCTCAGGGAGCCCAGAAATAGCTGCTGGGATGGCCCCCAGGAGGAGCCCAGCTGCTGGTCCCAGCCTAGGGCTGGGTGGGATGTTGTGACCCAGGATGCCCCAGTGACCCCGACCCTAATCCTGGTTGATCTGCAGCTGGGAGAGGAGGATCCCACAGCCCTGCTGCTCTAGGCTCATGGGATTCAAGTCCTTCAGATGGGTTTTCCAGCCCTGGAACAGCCCAGATTCCCAGTGCAGCACAGAGACATTGTCCTTCCCTCGCTTCCCCTTGAGCCAACTCGTGGCTCCGGCAGCTCCTGCCCTGGGATGTGTGGGAACCTGGGAGAGGAGCTTGGACAATAAATGCCATGGAGGAGAAAACCAGGGTGTCTGGAGCATCTCCTGCCTTCCTGGAGGAAGGACCGAGGGCTCTGCTGACTCACAGCCCTGGGCTGGGGGGCTGCCAATGAGTAAAGGCTGAAGTAACAAGTGATGCACTGGAAATAAGTCACTCCAGAAGAGATGACTCTTAAAGCACCAGTGAGAGAGGCGAGTGCTGCTCGTGGTGATGGCAGGGGTGATTTCAGAGTCCTTGAAAACCCTTCCCAAACAAAACTCCTTACCTGCTTTTATTTTTAGTTGTCTTTAGAATTGAAGTGTATTTTTTACCTCATTAGTGTTACTGCTAAAGGTGGGTGGTTGAAATAACCAAAGGAAAAATTGAATTTTACATGGAATTTTAGAAAGGCTCAAGTGCAAAAGAGCAGGTTCTGGGACAGGCTCAGCTGCACAAGCATCATCCCAGTCCCTCTAACTCTTATCCATCCCATGGTTTCAAAGGCATTTCCAATCCCCACCAGCCAACTCCCCTTTACCTGTGTGTTTTAGTCCATGAAAACAAATTTTTTCATCCCTTATCTTGTTTGTTGTGGCCTTTACCTGGTTCTGTGCTGCTTTCCAGAGTCCCTGTAACCCTATCCTTTGCAGGCATGTTCATATTCACCCCAGTTTTGGAGCCACTTTTTGGTTGCTTGGACTCATATTTTCAATTTTTTTTCCCCTGTAGTTCTGGCATCAGACTGAATTTCATGGGAGAACGAAAATCACTGAGACAAACAGATTGTTTTGTTTTTAATGGCTGTTCAAAAGCAGCTTGGCCAGGTTTCTCCTGCAAACTCCTTGATGCAGGGAATCTGTGGCAAGGAAGGAATTCTCCAGACAATCCCGGGATGTCCCCAGCAAGCACAACATCAACCTCAGTGATAGTTTGATTATAGCCTTGATTAAAACT